AAGAAACATGTTTCTTTTCAGAAAAGAATACTTCAAATTACTTCTTACTCTTCTAACACCAAAATATCTCAACTGAAAGGGCAAATCATCAAGTGAGCATTTGAGAGAATACAGAAGAACGAATACCTGCCACCAGCTTCAGTGAAACTAGGCTTCATGACAGGCTTTCACCATGATCTGTGAGAAAAAGTGAGTAATTCAGAACACTACAGTTTGTGTTGCTGTATTACTTAGGATTATCTGCTCAGTGTTTTGTGAAGGACAGGCAGTCACGTATGGAAATGCACATAAAGATTTGAGGAAGTAAACCAAAACGTTGGCAGACAAGGTAGAAGAGACAGCAGATAGAGGGAACTCAAATTGTACAGCATATCTGAAATAAGATAAATGGATAATTTAACAGTCATTCAGTTTTCAAGAAAGATGAAGCACAAACTACATTGCACCAGAAAAGGACTAGAAATGATGATGGATGAGACACTTCAAGTAAGTGTTTAACACAACAGAACCACAGTTGCCTGCAGAATTCCCAGCTGAGGGCAAATTCAAAGAACTAAATGAGGATATGAGATTGATACAGTTTGAAAAGTTTTTCAAAATCCATTTGATAGTAAGGCAGAAGGCATCGATCAGCTGCTTGGTTAAAATGTTGAAAGGAGAAGGGGTAGAAACATTTTGTATTTTGCATGCTTCAGATGCAGAACCAAAACGATAAAGAGCAGAACCAGACAAGTTATTTATGGAACTGTAACTCTTCAAATTATTATGAACATGTGAAACATTTGCAACTACAGCAACGCATCAGTCAAGCTACTTCAGTAGGTACTCAGTCCCTCAATATTACTCCCTCCCTTTGACAGCAAAGTATTGATAGTGATCAGAGAACATTTTGCTACCAGAAGAACTCTGTATGTATTTCCCTCCCCAAAGTACATTGCACATCACACCACTGGAGAATCAATTAGAGCTCCTCTCAAATACAGTAGTATCATTTATTTCATCTGGAACCCAATGAAAACATATGACTCTGAATCAGTAGGGCAAATAATTAAGTCACACGCACAACATCAAAAGGTTCACAGAACTTAATCCCTGATGCTTCTTTATTTTGTTGTATCTTCTACATGCCGCCTACAGAAGGTAGAATTTCAGCTGTCTTTTTTGGTTTCAGTACACAGGCTTGTGTGCAGAAATGCTTTTGGTTTTTCAAAACATCTTCCATCAAGTATATTATGAGGATCAAATCTTTGGATGACTGCAGTGCAGGTTCCCTTTTATCTGAACTACTCTGAAGTTCAAGGATTTTCAGATAGATGGCTCACCTTTGGCCTACGTATTCTTACATGAAAGCCACTTCAGCAAAACTCAGGAGTCCAATTCAGCTTTGCTGTAACTGGTCACTACTCTCTTGACTTCAGCAATGCTTCATGTGCTTATACACCAGGTCTGAATTTATCCCTGTGGCTCCTCGGTCACTAGTCCTCCCTTCCAACTCAGAAACTGCCTACATAATAAAAGTGATTCATTAGAAACCACTGGGTTCCAAAGCAGAGTGAACGCTGCGACCTATAACTTTTTGATATGTGCTCAGTCATAAAACTGAATTTATATGGTCTTATTCCATAAACTCACTTTACAAATATTAGACTCGCAGCCATACTTCCATGAGCCATAATCTTGTCAAAGCACGCAAGTTAAACAACTGGTCAATATTTGGGTGAGAACCTAAATAAATAAATAAATAAAACAATACTCTGGAGGTCCTGCAGTGTTCGTAAGCTGGGACATGCCATGTTCCCCCTTAAAATGATGTCACATGACTCAAAGAGCACAACAGTGTTGTATTTGTGTAAGCAATAGTTAGATTTCAGCCACACCTATGCTGCATCTTGGCTAGTTCAAACAATGTGCTTTTCCAGAGATGAAGCAGATGCTGACACAGTCCTCTGTCCCCACCACCCAGGAGGCAGATGATCTACAAGCAGCACATAGTCACAAAAGATGCCTATATCACTGAAAGTGGTAGAAAAAGTCAGTGCTATACAATAACTTTCTGAGAAACAGCTTAGTTACATACCTGAGGTAATGCATGGCTACAGAAGAGGACTGCAAATCTATTTAGCTTTTTCTAGTGCTGGAATGAGAGCCACTGGTGGGACTGCTCTCCCAGCATGCTTTATCAACCTGTGATAATGAGCAGCTATTACAGGAAAGGGGATGAAATGGGAAAGTTTCCAATCCCACACCGATCTCTGTGTAGCAAGGCAGCTGCACTGCACAAGAAGGAATGCCTGCAGGCAGGGGATGGGGACTCTGCATTTGTCCCAAAGCCCACCTGCTGCACCACAGAGAATTGAGGAAAAGGGGTATTTCTGAAACTTCAGCATTATTTGGAAGTATCCTATGTCAGACAGCTGTTGAAGACCAAACCTCTTCCTACTGAAGTAAAGAATAAATTAGGCCTAAGAAGCTGAGTAGCAAATTAGACAGATCACTAGCAAAGCAGTTTGTACAAGGCATGCATCAAAAATAGAGGCATGGAAGAGCAGTACATCAAGAGGCTTTTGTGCAATAAAATCGAAAGTAAAAAGTGCAGCCAGGAGGCAGAAAACCCTGACTAGGTTACAGCCAAATAAACCTAAATAGCTTTAGGAATAAATTGGTGATTTAATCCAGATCAGGAGCAGGTGCTATGAATGTAATTCAGTAAATGGTCAAGAACCTGCCAGAAGGGAGAGAAATGTGTTGCTTTTGAGATAATTTCCCAAAAGCTTCATAAAAGAAAATTGATTACTGGTGTTTAATAATTAAAACAGAGCCAGAAATATAGCAATCAAATGAGTTTTTAATTACATCTCAAGCAGAAGTAAAATCCAATTTGTGTACTTTGTATCAGAAAAGTCCTACTGAAATGCTTTGGTAACTGGAAGAAAAATAAAAGCTAATTTCCATAGGAATTATAGTAGTTGCTTTAATTAAAAGACTAGATCAGAATGAAAGAGTCTTGAAGTGAAAGGATACTAAATCCAGAAGCAGTGGTTTGAACATCAAATCAATGTCTGAATAAAGATATTTCATGGAGTAAGTGCAAAATCTGCACTGGTGAGTAGCCCTAATCTAAATTAGTGTAGAACAAAATAAAGTTTTTTAAAATTACACTGTATATTTTGTCAGCATTGCATAGAATTAATTGCTTGTACTGTGGTAAAACTGAATATCAAAGACATGGTTTATTCCTTCTAAAATATTCCTCTTAACTTATTTTCATCACGGTTAATGTTATTAGTTAACCATTCTGGTTATTTATCTGGTTAAGCATACATTTCTATCAAGCAATTTACTTTCGGACTTCACTGCTCATAAGATTCAGTGATTATGGGGTGCAGGTGCTTAGAATCATAGAATCATCAAGGTTGGAAAACATCTCCATGATCATCTAGTCCATCCATCCACCTATCACCAGTATTTCCACCGCTAAACCACGTCCCTACAACATCTAAACATTTCTTGAACACCTCCAGGGAAGGTGACTCAATCACCTGCCTGGGCAGCCTGTTCCAATACCTCACCACTCTTTCAGAGAAGACAGTTTTCCTAATATCCAGCCTGAACCTCCCCTGGCACAACTTGAGGCTATTCCCTTTCATCTTATCACTAGTTACGGCAGAGGAGAGAACAACTCACACCTCACCACAATCTTCTTTCAGGTAGCTGTAGAGAGCTATACTGCTCCTGGCCTACTGTGGCTTTGGGTGTCTATGGCTGCAGGCAGAGCATAGCCAGTTGGCTTCAGTATCTCAGGCACCCACCGTCCTCCTGTCACCCTTGGTCGTGGGGCGAGATGCAGACACGCACATCAGAGGCTTGTCGTCTCCTACCAGCAAGCTTCGGAGATGGATGCTAGCTTTGCACATGCACAGAAAGGATCTGCTAAGTTGCTATAAAATGAGAATGCCTGCAGTGTTGGCAGAGGCAGTGCAGGCATCAAGGACAACAGCAGTGAGATCCTCAGGGAGGTGTTTAGCATGCATTACTCCCCTCCATTTTTGATTCAATCAAACCAGGTTTGAGGAATACATAACATCTGGAATATGGTGCTCAAAAGAGGGAACTGTGAGGTTTGGTGATAGGAGTGTTACTTATGCACAGCTATCCCAAAAATAGCATGAATGCCACCAGAGAGCAGTACTGTCCATGGCAGAGACCACAGTCAGCTTTGCCTCTTACTCCAGGCCCAAGGTTGTGTAGGTCCACACCACATTCTCAGCAAATAATTTTAATTCAATTTGCTTTAACTTCCACACAAATCAGCTACTTACTCACGGTGTGATTTTACAGAAGTGCTGAGCATTCATATTTCCTACTGAAGTCAACTGAAATTGCACTTTTTCAGCACATCTTAAGATCAGACCATTAACCCTTAATTATCATATAATAGCTCAATTAAAAATTTACCAAGACTTACTTCAGCGGATAGCCAAACTACATGGTTTGCAAGCTAACTATAAAACATTCAGTTCTTAGTGGTGTCTGGGCTCTGGGGGCTATTTAAACTAGCTGTTGTTAAGCCTGCTATTTAAAGTAGGGGAAAAAAACAACAACAACAACAACAACAAAAAAAAACCTTGCCTTCTCACTAGTTCATAGGCAGCAAGCAGGAAGCCCCAGACACTGGGGATGCTTCAGAAGGACTATCTTCAAGGCTTATAAGAAAACCAAAGTAGTTGAATGGCAATTTTGCCACCTTATGTGCTTTTTTTTTTTTTTTTGGACATTTTTGGTGGATTACTTAAAGCCTCAGATCAAAAGAGTATGAGATAAAGAAATCCCAAATGAAATGAAAAACTTTACCTACAAAGAATTTACAACTGGAGGTGAGGAGGGTGAGGGCACAGTACAGATCAGGTTCCTTTTATCATGTAACTCCCTAGACCGTCCATCAGCAGACTGGAAATACTAACATTTTTTCCTCTCTTCTATTGCTTTCTATTTTTTTCCAGTGTCTCGTGAAGCTGAATGTGAAACTGAAGCCTATGCTGGACTCTGTGGCAGTAAATAGAGGTAAATGGGAGGAGTTGCATCAACAAAGACTTCCTTCTCAGGCAGCATCTTCATCCTCCTTTTCCTCTACCTTTACCATGTCTCTCAAAGACATAAATTAAGCCTGCAACTGTCAGTGTCTATTTATGATAAGAGCTGTCTGAAAGGATTTCAAAAGCTTTGGCACACCATTTTTTTTAATTTTTTTTTTTTTTTTTTAAGAAACACTTTCACAGATATGCTTAATTGATCGGATAGTATCTTGATGGCAGCCTGATTTGCTATTACTTCCCTTCTGAAGAGAAGGCCTGCAGTGAGATTGCACTGGTTTCCAAAGCTACAAGAAGGACTTAGCACAAGAAGCATTCATTCAGCTCTGCTACATTTCAACTGCTACCATAAAAATCTGTAAAACTGACAACAGACTGAAATATAAGAACTTACAACTTAATAAAATTAATAATACAGAGCAGAACTGGGATGCGAGGTGGTCAATTCATATACAAGGAGCTGCAGGAAAACAGAATAGTATGTAATTACATTGTTGTTTTGCATCTCTTCAGTACACGTTATGAATCAATTATGCTTGCTTTTGTGATGTTCCTCTCTTCCTTCCTCTATTATGCCTGGATGTTCTGAGAAGCCTGCTTTGTATTCTAAAGAAGTATTTTTTTACAACAACGCTTCTTAGTGATTGATCAGGGCCTTTAGAATTGCCTACCTTTGCTACATTTAAAAACAAACTTTATTATCTTTAAAAATACCAATCTGTCCCTGCTTCCCTGAGAAATTCATATTAACAATGCAGTAAATTTCTCAGCAAGGGGAAGCTTGCATTAAAACAAAATACTGCATGCTGATTTTAGAGGTTGTTTTTTTTTTTTTTTTTTAAATACTCCTTTAGCTCATTCTTCCTTTTTTTTTTTTTTTAATTTACAGTGTACCCTAAGGGAAAAAGTAATGGGTTTCAATGAATATAGAATAAAAATAAAAAGGAAATCTGCTGCCTTATGCTTCAGGTTTATATTAAATTGAAAACTGGACCATGGATGAACCTCTCTAGTATAATTTGCAGTGGAAATGAACATTTTAAAATGGTAAAGAGAAAGAATATTATCATACTGAACTGACTACCTCTTACTTCTCTTGCAGTACTCTCAGTACACTTTAAGATGATGTTATTACAGCTAGCACAGCGCTAGGCTCACACATAACCATCTGTGGTAGAGGGGTTCTTTAAAGTTTAATCAAAACCAGGAGGTCACAAAACCAAATGTGTTCAGCTTTGTGCGATGACATTGGTATTATGTGAAAGTTGGTCTCCTTCCATTAACGTAGTGTAGCAAAGCTATGGCATCTGAATTGAGGGTGATTTCTCTGCTGCGTGATGGGACCCAAGAGGAGTCATGTTGCAGCGCTTAAGAGTTCCCATTCATGGGAGAAGAAAAGCCTTTGTACTCATTGAAAATGCCATAGTGAATATAGGCTTGTCTGGCAACCAAAATTAAAGCTGAATTTGGCTACATTTTATTCCTGTGATGATGTCCGTTTGCTCCATGGAATTACCTTGAACTGGCACCAGCTTCACAGAAACCAGAGCCTGGCCCCACCAAGTGAATGCCAAAAAGATCCTCCCTGCTTCCCAGTGAAAAGGAATCCTTAGCACCTTTGAAAAGCTGACATCTGTCTGGCAATCAAACAGAAACAACAAATCTGCTGAGCACTTCCTTAAGTAAAAACACAGACCAAAACCAAAACAAAGTCCTCTGTGCTACCAATCGTGTACAGGGGAAATAGGTGGAAATTCCAGTAGCATTACAAACCAACCTGTTACCACGCAACTGAACCACATCGCCTTCTCTATCAAATGAAGCAGTGTAGGAGCAGAAATACAGAATGCACAGCAGGGAATATACACATCAAGTGGAAATGCTTCTGCTATTATTTTACCAGTTTTTTTCTTCCCTGAATAAAGATAGATGCAGGATAGTAAACAGCAAGACACATACAACTTGTAATGCATACTTTATGGGGGAAACAGACACCAGGAACTGACATAGTACTGCTGACTGGTACACTGAGCTTTCCTGAATTTTGATATTGCATATTGCTATGTGTAACATAAATTACAGCACATACCCTGAAGCTTCCCCCAAGGTTGAGTTTCCCCTCGTTTCCTCTCCTTTTTATTGGCTTCAGTGCGCTGTTGCCCATGGCAACTCCCACAGCAGTGATGGGAATTCAGCACTGCACCACCTGACATCCAGCTGAAGCTCTAACAATGTCAACCATCAATCAAGTGACTGTTTGTAATTGCCTCCATCTATTTCTCCTGTCTTTTGGTAGCTTGGCTATTGTGGGTCAAAATCCAGAAAGTGCTGACTAATGTTATGGTTCTGTTCCTCCATCACAAGGAAGAAAATGAGAGTGCACAGTTAGATCTTTATCAAATTGTTCTCAGGCAAAATGAGGCAGCCCTGATGAAAATGGGGGGGTCACAACAGCATATCACAGAGAAGAATTTGGTGTCTGAAAGTTATACAGGTCAATATTATTATTTTATAAAAGCTTTTTTTTTTTTTTCTATACAGCTTAGGAGTCAGCAAAAGATTCACATTTTGGAGAGAAAAAGAAAATTCTTTGTGGAAGCAAAAAAGAATCATATTCCAAGTTTCTCATATTAAAAAGGATAGAAAACAGTTCTTAACGAGTGCTTACAAGCTTTACAGGCAGACACTGTATCTGCTTTTCATTCTCTCTGACTCCAAAACATTCTTCCAGCAATTTGATCAGTTTTGACACTGTCCTGAGACACACACAGCACAGATGAGATGACTGGGGGTTATGAAGTCTGAATTATTATTTTTTTTTTCTCCTTTCCCTGCCCAATGCACAACATCAAAATGCATGAAATAGGTTCCATGGTTGCATATAAAGCACAGGGCTAGCAGGACGAAGATCCCACTGTTACCTAGGCCAGTGCTGGTAGATTGCTGCTCTGCCTTCCCCTGCAGGTGCCCACCACACTCAGTGGCTCAGTGACAGAGGAGTCCTAACTTCTCTGCCCCTGCTGTCGGTGGAAATTTTGCCTGCAACAGGGACTCAAGAATTTGCAAATACAGTCCTAAAATGGAGTTAGCACAAGGTGCATCCATAGGAGCTGCATTCTCCCCAAAGGTGCTCTGATTCAGTTTAGTTCTAATGGAGTCTTCAAAAATAGTTCAGGCCAGGCAGCATTTCCACTCAGGATTGCCACTTGTGAAACTGCTTACCAAAATGAACCCCTTCTCAGCAAGGAAGAAAAGATCTAAATGCTACAGCACCACCTAGGGCAACCAGGAAGGTACCTGGCATTCCGATCCTGTTTGATTCAGAGCAGGCTTCAAACTAGAGGTGCAACTTGCTCCCCAGGGGGAGGCACGAGGGCAGCCTGTCTCTGCCCTCCTGCTGAAGCCCTTTACTCACACTTATCAAGGAGATGGGACACTAAAGTGTGTGGTTCCTGCTTCATCCCTGAGGAGCTGCACAAGGCAGAAAGGCATTGGTAGAAGAACTCAGGAGGGCCTCCAGTGTGCATCCTCCTAGATTAGAGCAGAGCCCAGCAGTACAACTCTGTGACCCCACCAGGAAACCAAGTACTGCTCAAGGCTCACTCAGAGAACTTGAACTGAAGGCTCTCCTATGGATCAGATAGAAGAAGAATTTTCCACCTCCTGAGAATGAGACAACCAAAAGGTACTAGCCGTAAAATCAGACAATTTGCCCTAAAACTGAATCGCTGTTCAGGCCTTTCTCCTAGCCTGGGACCTACAAGCAAAATAAAAATTCCTAACTCAATCAACACCTAGACAGCTGCTTCTGGCAGGACACAGTTTGGTGTCAAATACAAGGTTAGGCAACAGTACCTCATGAAAGTTTAATCAGAATGCCTAACGTGGCAATCAGACACGTAACTCCCCATGCAGCTCTGTCTTAGCCAGCTTGCTCTCCTTTGCCAGACCAGGGATCTTGCTGAGAAGGTCATTAGTATGTTTAGTACCCTGCTGAAAATAACTAGAGCGTAGATGAGTGTGTTTCTTTTTAGCTCAGGTATTCATTCAGATGGTGTCCTTGGTATAGCAGCTGCATTTTTGGGACTGGTGTCCTTACTAATTGCTCCTCCTTATAGTGCACTGCTATTTCATAATGTGCCTGTAGTTATCAGCAAAAGCCAATACTAATATTCACAAACTGTTTTTGAAAACTGCAACCAGCAGTGCCTAAGATAATTTTTAACATTTAGACTAATTGATCCTAATAGAAAAAATGGGAGTGTTTCAGTTTACAGGCCAAATATTTATTTTCCCTTCATACAGTTAAACAATCTGAGTTATAGACAGTTTATACATTGAGTGCAATTTTTAGACAGGTTTGTTTTAAGGCCATGTAAAACATTAATATACACTTCCAATGCTTAGAAAGATCTGGGCAAGAAAATGTAAGAGTAAGACTTCTTTTTTCATTGGCTTAGTCAAAGAAACTGATGATTTCAATAGTAAAATAGTGTGAATGGTTTATAAGAAAACAGAATTGTGAAGTAAATAGCAGGTGAAATGAGAGATATTCATTACCTGAATGTGACAATATTGAAATCTGTACTGTGTATTGATTGTTACCTTTTCTTTCTTAGAATATCTCGTATTTAATTACCAATTTATAAGCGTGTTAAAAACTGCATCTTACAGTAGTGTGGAGAGTACCCCTGTGAGCTTTCAATCTTCATGTATGGGCAACAACAGACACATGCACAGAAACAGTGTGTGTATTTTCTAATGCAAGTGCATCCTACTTACTTTTGAAAATGCACAATAAATATCCTTGCCTCCTTTTCCCTTTTTGCATTTTAAGATCATTACCCTCATTGTTTTGCTTTAGTAGATCAAACAATGCTGATTCAGCTTTTTAAAGCATGTTTTTGAAATTAACCATTTGGTTTTATTGGTCTATCTAAAAAAAAAATAATAATAAATCACTTAATCGTTCCTGTGATTTTGACTTTTGTTTGTTTGTTTCATTGAAACTGACTTGTCAGGATGAATCAGAACTGTATGTATTGATTCGTGAATCACACAAATAGAAGAGCAGTGAAAACACATGCAACTGAACAGCTCAAATATAACTTCTGAAACATGACCTTGCAGCAGTCATTCCTGGGAAGAAACCTAACTTCACCTGCTGCACTTGGCATTATTAGGGAATGACCAGAAACCAGATCTGGCCAAAGACATCAACAGAACTATTTACTTGTATAAAAATTATATACATCAGTACAAGTCAGTGACACCGGATGTAGCATTATTCAGTAGAAACACCATATCCACTTCCCTCCAAGGAAAAATTACTGTTGAAATAAGCAATTTCAGAAAAGTAAGAAAATATTTGATCTACTCCTTTAAAGCAGTTGGAGAGCTAGGAGAGCTATCATATTCTATTAAGATACAAACATCCTTCCTTCCATCACACAAATAGAAGAGCAGTAAGCACATTAAGAGCAAATTTAGGCTCTTAATGTATTGTAAAAGGGAAGTTTCATCACACAGTACAGAGCATCAATAAAGTACTTGCCATCCTGTGTTCCAAGGTTACGTGTTTAACTTAGGGCTTTTTCTTACAGTGTAACTGCTTAGAAATACTTAAGGCTATTTCTGAAGATTTATTTAAAAAAAAAAAAAAAAAAGTATTTGGAAAAAAATATATATCAGTAAATTTATTTAATTTTACTTTTTGTTCTTCTCAGCTTCAGGAAATACTGAACTGAGGAAAATATTCAGGTCTAGGTAGTATTTTAAGGATAAGAGATCTATTCTAGCTGATGTGGATATAATTATTATACATTTCAGTTTACTGCTTAGAAGATAATAGCACAAAGGGGAAAGCAGACAACAGGCAGATACAGATAATGCAATTTCTTTATCTGGCATAAGGTCTCATTTGCGTCATGGCTGCTAGAAAAACAAGGCAAACCCATCTCGTTCTGGCACTGAGAACCTACTTAGCACTGCGACTAGTAATTAGCACACAAGCAGAGCCTTGAAAGCACTGTAATGAAGTAATGAACAGTGAGAGGAAAGGAAGAAGAAATGCTGGGGAGGCAGAGGGGATGAGCATGCAGTCACAGGCATCCGGCAGTCATATGCACCTGGTGCTGCACAGAGCACAGCTGCAGCCCACAGCTCCCTCACCAGCACAGTCAAACAGCAGCATCCAGGCTCAGCACTCGCACAGCAGATCCACTTCTCCCCATCCCATGCTGCCTGGTGTGCCTGAGGGGTGGACGCAGCTGAATTCAGCAGTGCCTTACAGCACTTGGTGCAGCCCTGTCCTAACCCTAGCTACACATCTCTTCCATTCCATGCTGCCAGAGCGCAGACAAGGCCAGAGAGGGTAGTACATTGCTGCCGCCCACTGCTGCCCTGGTTCTCTGGCCTTTCCAGAGAGCCGGGCAGGGTGAGCAGAGGAAACTCTTTTCTCCAGAATGATGATGGCGATTCTTGGTGACTGGAGGCAGCTGCTCCAAGTCGGTGATCAGATCCATGCCGCTAAGTACAGAGTACAGAGATGGTATACGTTTGTTTAGCAGCTGAATTCAGCCCCTACAACGGTTTGCACGGAAGCACGAGCTGTGCTTGGGGGTACAGAAAGCCCTTTAGAGGCTTAGGTCTGTCTTGATTAGAGTTGTGTGGCAATTCACGGCCTGCGGGCGCTAGGCGGGAGGGTGGCCCAGCCTACGGGCTGTCCCCGCAGGAGGTACCGGCCCAGGAGCCACGCGGGGAGCCCCACAGCCCTCGCGAAACGGCCCGGGCCGACTCCCGCCTCGGCGCGCCGCACTACAACGCCCAGCGCGCCCCGCGCCGAGCCGACCACCCGCTTCCGGCGCGGCGGGCCGGCCGCATTGGGAGTACTTCCGGCGCGGGGGCCGTTGCCACGGCAGCGAGAGGCGCCGCACGGCTTCGCCCATCGCCCGCTTCCGGCGCGGTGCGGCGGCCATGGAGGCCGCGCCGGTGCCCGACGGGCAGTACACGGCCGCGGTGTACGGGCTGATCCGTGCCGGGCGCTGCGGGGAGGCGGCGGCGCTGCTGAGCCGCGAGCTGCAGAGGAGCAGCCGCTCGCGGGGCGGCCTCTCGCTGCTGGGCTACTGCTACTACCAACTGCAGGACTTCGCTGCGGCGGCCGAGTGCTACGAGCAGCTGGCGGCCCTGCACCCCGAGCTCGACGCGTACCGCCTGTATCTGGCGCAGGCCCTCTACAAGGCCGGGCTGTACGCCGAGGCGCTGAGGGCCGCCAGCCCGCTGCTGGACCGGCCCGCCTACCAGGGCCGGGCCCTGCGCCTCCAGGCCGCCGTCCACTACGCGCAGGGCGACCTGGCGGCGGCCAAGAGCCTGGTGGAGGAGGCGCTGGCCGCGGACGGCGGCCCCGGGGCGGCCGAGGACCCCTCGGAGCGGGCCGACGCCGAGATCAACCTGGGCTGCCTGCTGTACCGGCAGGGACGGCACGAGGAGGCCAGCGGGAAGTTCGCGGGCGCCATGCAGGTGCTGGGCTACTGTCCGGAGCTGTCCTACAACATGGCGCTCTGCTGCTACGCCGCCAAGCAGTACGCCCCTGCCCTCAAGCACATCTCCGATATAATCGAGCGCGGCATCCACCAGCACCCCGAGCTCAGCGTGGGCATGACCACCGAGGGCATCGACGTGCGCAGCGTGGGCAACACCCTGCTCCTGCACCGCACGGCCCTGGTGGAGGCCTTCAACCTGAAAGCTGCCATCGAGTACCAGCTGCACAACCTGAAGGCGGCTCAGGAGGCGCTCACCGATATGCCGCCGAGGGCGGAGGAGGAGCTGGACCCGGTCACGCTCCACAACCAAGCACTAATAAACATGGACACCCAGCCCACAGAGGGCTTTGAGAAACTGCAGTTTCTTTTGCTGCAGAACCCCTGCCCACCAGAAACCTTTGGAAACTTGCTGCTCCTCTACTGCAAGCATCAGTACTACGACTTGGCAGCTGACGTACTGGCAGAGAACGCCCATCTAACCTACAAACTACTCACACCTTACTTATACAACTTCTTGGATGCCGTTATCACTTGTCAGACTGCCCCTGAGGAGGCTTTCCACAAGCTGGATGACGCAGCAGGGATGCTGACCGAGCAGCTGAGGAAACTCACAAAGCAAATACAGGAAGCTAGGCAAAATTGGGATGATGAAGCTGTAAAGAAGACTGTTAATGAGTATGATGAGACTTTGGATAAATATATACCCGTCTTGATGGTTCAGGCTAAAATTTATTGGGACATGAAGAACTACACCATGGTAGAAAAGATCTTCCGCAAATCAGTGGAGTTCTGTAATGAACACGAGGTATGGAAGCTCAACGTGGCTCACGTACTTTTCATGCAAGAAAACAAGTACAAAGAGGCTATTAGCTTCTATGAGCCAATAGTTAAGAAGCACTATGATAACATTCTTAATGTTAGTGCCATTGTGTTAGCTAATCTCTGTGTTTCCTACATCCTGACAAGCCAGAATGAAGACGCAGAGGAACTGATGAGGAAGATTGAGAAGGGGGAAGAGCAACTGTCCTATGATAATCCTGATAAAAATATCTACCATCTTTGTATTGTCAATCTAGTCATTGGTACTCTTTACTGCGTGAAAGGAAACTACGACTTCGGCATTTCGAGGGTCATTAAAAGCCTGGAGCCATATAACAAAAAACTAAGCACTGATACGTGGTATTATGCCAAAAGATGTTTCCTGTCCTTGCTAGAGAACATGGCCAAGCACATGATCATGCTACGTGACAGTGTCATTCAAGAGTGTGTCCAATTTCTGAAGCAATGTGAACTGTATGGAAGAAACATTCCAGCTGTCATTGAGCAGCCCCTCGAGGAGAACAGGATGCACAGTGGGAAAAATACTGTTACATATGAAGCCAGGCATTTGAGGGCATTGATGTATAAAATTGTGGGATGGACTGCATGAACAATGTTCCTGTACAGTAAAAAACAAACAAACAAAAAAACCACCTTGTCTGTTCTTTCCTTAGGCTTGTGAGATGATGCTCACCCTGGTATAATTTTCTTGATTGCTTACATTTAAAGATTTGTACCTGTATTTTAACAATATTCAGTGGAACATTAAATAAATGCTCGAATTGAACATGCACGAAGTAATTGGAGGCATTCTCAGTCACTTCAAATACACCTTAAGATATGCTGATCAAGAACTTCACTACAGAAATATCACAGAACATTTTATAGGTGAAAATTCTATCCTTGTGAAAGTTTGACCAAGTTTCTTTATGTTAGTTGGCAGTTAAAAATAATTTGCAATCCATCTCTTCTAGCACAGATACTGAAGAAACAAAGTTCCCTAGTTTGTGCCTGTGTGTGAAAAGTTTCTCTTCTGCTTTTTCTGAAGTATTTTTAATATGTTGCACATTATGTTGATAGTATATTCAAACATTTAAAAAAGGCTTTGTAATTAAAAAAAATAAAATCCTGCAAAAATTACCTTTTCCTAATTCAGTAACCATATGCGAGTATTCATGCAAGCTGGAGATGTAACACAAGGACTAAGAATATATGTGGAGGATAACGTGGTAGGATTAGGAAGACAGAGCTGAGTTTTACAGAAAACGTAGCCTTTTCTTTCTCCCACAGATGCTGCAATAGACTGCTACTGGAGAGCACTTTAATTGCATGCTATGTTATCAGGTTAACTACATTCCTACACTTGCAAAAGTAAACTAGATGGTAAGTCTCAAGCCTCAAGACAGGCTTCCTTGTCTCCCCTTCCTCTACTGCAATGCCTCACACTCCTGTGCCAGGGCCTCCCAAGTAGCAGCTGTTACTCTGCAGATCTACTTAGCAACACGTGCTAACTCAATAAGCAGTCCTTCCTTTGAAGCTTAGACTGCCCCTTTGATCCAAACACCGCTCTTAAAGTACACCAGTATCCGGTAGAATACTCCACAAATGTGCAATTATAATTTCCATATTTCTCAAAAAGCATATAATTTCATTTCATGTGAAATATATCTCTTCCACATTTCATGTGAAACATATTAGATGAAAGAAATCCACTCTCCAGTTTCCTCTTTGTATTACTTACAATTCCTACTTCTCTAATACCTCTCTGAAATCCTATTTATTCCTTATCATCTCCATCACATCCTATTATTAGACATTTTATTTTACCCTGTCTTTCAATACCTATTTCACACACAATACATGTCCTACACAGACTGAGCAAACATATTCTAATCAAAACACCTTTCTCTTTTGTTTTCTAAATAGCAGTCAAATATCTGTGGCTTTAACGCTTTTGCTTACCTTTGATCCTGGCTTCCTGAAGAGTTGTTGTGGGTGAACGTCAGAATCAGACTGCAGGTCTGTCTGAATCCATTTTCCATACCATGGTTTACCTGGAAAGAAAGGACAACATTCTTGAAAGTTGCCCTTCTGGCAAGTAATTGAATACTTAATCCTTCCAGGGTGTAAATGAAGATTGAGCACACCTGTGAACCATTTCAACATAGCAAATCAACTCTCCTCCATTCTGAGAAAGAAACTCAACATGGCTGAGCGTAGCCTCTGTAGCTAATGGATATGGCTGTGGGTTAGTCAGTGTTACAGTTCATTCAAGAATTCCCATAACAAAGTAAAATCAAATCTAGCACAGCTGTCTTCAGTGTCAACAATAAGAAAATGTTCTGCTGGGGGCAGATGAGAAAGTAGGCAGCAGTATGTAGTAAGGTGCCCTGGAATGGCCTCTGTAGCTTATTACCAGTCCATAAAGCCATCCAGGCCCTATTAGAATGATATTAAATATTTTCCACAACCAAGGAGACCTGTGATTTCAAATCTTGTTCACCTTCACAAAGCACACCAGCAAGCTGTAAAGTATGTTTTTAATTTACAGTGGAACTATATTTTATATTATGCAGCACAAACAGCATGACCTTTAAAAAGAGGTCTTCAGGAGTCACACCTCATAACGGAGTATGAAGTGCAAACTGTGGGCCCTGGCTGAGAGAACACCAGAGCTTTGTCTAATATTCATTGTGTGTGTTGGACATTTGGAAAAAAAAAATCACATTGCAGACTGGTATCAGTGCAAACACTGAACGTTCAGACAGAATGGAAAGCAAATTAGACATGTATTCATGGCCAGCTTTGGCGCACCTCTCCTATTCCCGTCAGCTGCAGGCACAGGATCCTCAGCCACGGGACAACAGGGAGCCATGTGCCCTGCACTGTGTCTGCCTTTCCTATTCCACCCAATTGTAAGGGACCAACACCTCAACACCTGCAGCAATGCAGCCTACAAAGCAACATCCTCTCCTGGAAGGGGATGCAGCTCAGGCAAGTGGCTCTAACACACACCTAGTGATGGCAGTGCTTGTGAAATGCATTGTCTGGGGTCCACGAAAGCAACATGCTCAGCTACAACACGGAAACAAATAGATGCAGCAGGTGGAAAGCTCTGCGTATAGGAAGCTCTCTAGAGCCAAAATCAGCTTAGGATTTACTGAATAATGAGCTGCTTTCCGTACTTGGGGAAAAAACAAAAAAAAACAAAAAAAAAAAAACAAAAAAAAAAAAAAAAAAAAAAAAAAAAAAAAAAAAAAAAAACAACCACACACACAAGCAAGGAAATGGAGCTCCTCTGTTGTACGGGATACGACTGTTTCAGAAAGCGTGGCTAGAGGGCACTCCACATCTCCAGAATATGCTCTGTCCTATTGCAACAAATCAGGCAGACCAACACAAACACCGGAAAACCCTGAGAAAAATGTCAGCAGCAATATTTCCGCTGTTCTTCCCTTACGTCACATTTTTATCTGCTTTCCTCTCGAGGTGTGGTGTGCTGCCAGGACTGGCCTGGACCTAACCCACGACTTCATAGCGACTTCAATGATGCTGAATGTGATGAGCCCAAATGTCAGGAGGCCTCTGGTGCCAAAACGAGAGAGGGAAGAGGCAGAACTGAGACATGCCAAGAGAGGATCTGGAACACAATTCCTCTTCTATTGCTAATGTTGGGACTTCATGTAACACATGTGCTGGATCTCCTCCTCTACCCTGCAGCATTTCCACTCTGAGCACAAAGCCAGCTTCTCAACAGCAGGCACCCAGCCCCTCCACGCCTAGGAGAGATGCCCAGCCTCCCTGTCCCTGGCAGCTGCCCACCCCTGTACCAGAGCGCTGGGTCCTGCTTCCACAGTGCCTCACTGCTTGCTGTGCAAAGTGTGCGGTTATGGCACTTCTAGCTACAAAGCACTTGGTCATGAAAAACTTATAAACATTACAACCAGTTTTATTACTATCTTTATACTGCATTTAATGTTTCCCTATATGACTTACACACAAAATATAAAGGAAGGCACATACAGTTTTATTTGGAAGGAAGGGAGGACACCAAATAATGGTTTATGCTCCTTAGAAATACAGTAATGCATGCCTAAATTAACACCCTGTGCTAGCACAGTTCTTTTGTCCCTAACCAAAAATCATTAATTCCGTTTAAAAGACTGCAAAGAAAAACCACCAACCAGAAGGAGCTTCTAGAGCAGAGCAGAGCAGAGACAGAGGGTGCTGGGGCCACTTGTGGTCAGCTCTGTAGTTAGAGAAAAAAACATAAGGAACGAAGGGATGGCTGACTTTATAGTAAGACGTAGAAGATGAAACAAAAGATTCTTCTTAATGTGTAGTTGTGAAGGAGCATGACTAGAAACTTCTTCAGAGGAGATACAGGTATTTCTGTAGGGTAAACAAGCCCTGTTAGTAAGTGGGTGAGGAGGGGAATGCTATTACATTTTACACACAAAAATAAAAGCTGATCTGGGTTTCACAGTATCTTACAGCATCCTATCCTAGCCACCTGAGTTCAAAGCTGCGTTCTCCAGCAAAGGCAGCAGAGTTCAGCCCTAACTGATGGTTTGCAGATCCAGGCACAGTGTGACAATGTGGTTGTGTGGGCTGAAAGATAAGCACTGAATGATGTATCTTCACCTCTCCCTCCATGCTTCACTTCCTTCATCTCCCTTTGGCCTTTCAGCAGATAAAACCTTCTCTAAAGGCCTCTGCTAAATCCTTCTGTCTCAATACAATAAGGAGCAGCTACCCTTGGGACAATGCACACCTTCACAGCACAGTGAAGATGTCACAGCCTGGTCGGCCTCAGAGAGTATGCCTGGCTGCTGTGGGGTTTGCAGAAAGGGCTGAAATTCTCCCCGCTTTGGGCATGCGGTTGCTAATTGGTAATGGAAGGAGTGCCAAGTGTGCATGCATTCTATTGCAGAAAAATATCAAGACTGAGCTGCTTCAGTGAACAGCTGTTTTCAGTCCTCTGTCCCTTGTCTGGGCAGCGTGACATAGCTGAAGCTCCCAGAGAAGCAGACCTAAATAAAGTAAAAGAAGCACGGCACTGGGTCCTGAAAACTTTGGGGATTTATTCTCACTGAAAGAATTCCTTTTCTTGGCTGACACTTTTCCATTAAACATAGAAATTGAGACATTTGGACTCATTTCACAAAGAACCTCAATTAGCAACACTTTCCTACAACTGCCTGAATTTAAGCAACATTGCCCCATCTTCAAGCAGACCTTTCCAAATCCAACAGCTTCAGTCCAGAACTTTTCTACTTTGGGGCTCTTTAAATTCGGTTGAGCTCATAGCCCAAACCAAAGCCCAACAAAGCCAACAACAAGTTCTCTTTGACTTCAGTGAGCTTAAAATTGACACCTGAGAAAATGTCCATTCTCACAAACCGCTATTCCAGGCCATCCAAGAGCAGCGTGTGGCTGATGCTGAAATGTTAGAACCCGGCCAAGCTCAGTGAAAAAAAAAAGCTCATTTCCACCCACTTAAAGTTCAGCTTAGAAAACCGCACACCCCGCATTTCTCATGGTGTGACTGCTCCACATTAGGAAAACGTGGCTGTTGCAAAATGAGGGGTGCAGGTCTGCAGAGGTTCCGCTGCCCAGTGTGGGACTACGATGGTGTGGGATCTC